CTGCTCTTCCAGAGGTCCTGAGTTCAATTCCCAGCAACCACATGGTGGCTCACAACCATCCGTTATGAGATCTGGTGCCCTCTTCTGGTGTGCAGATATACATGGAAGCAGAATGTTGTATACATAAAAAAATAAATAAAATCTTTAAAAAAAAAAGAGGTTAAACCTAGATGTTTAGCCCTGATGTAAATACAGTACTCATGTATGAAACTGTCAAAGAATAAATATGAAAAAAACAATGTTTACCCTTGGGGCCTGTTACACTATAAAACCTCCACAAACACCACGGTGTTCACAGATGTGAGACGGTTGGTCCTTCACACCAAGCTTCTCCTATTTGGAGCTGAGCACTGAGGAAATGGTGCCAGTGAGATGAGGATAGAAGTGGGAAGGGTGTTTGTTCCTGGATACCATATGTTTAGGGGGAATAGTTTTAAGTCTGGTGTCTACCCATTCAGGAACGTATTGCTGATTGACAAGGGGCTGGCAAGGCAACAGCTGACCTGCTAGGTTGCAGGGCAAGAACCAACAGTTAGAACCCTGTGTGGTAGAATATTATTTTAAGGTGCGTTACTTTTGCTTGTGCTGTGGAACATTTAATGATGTAAAGATGTGTTGCTTTTGTTTATTCTGTATTTGTTTAACTCTGTGAAGCTGTGGTTCTTTGCCTGTCTAAAATAACTGGTTGGTCTAATAAAGAGCTGAAAGGCCAATGATGACACAGGGGAAGGGATAGGCAGGGCTGGCAGGCAGAGAGAATATATATAGAAGGAGAAATCTGGGAGGAAAATGATTGGGGTGGAATGAGAGAGGAATGAGGAGGACTTCAGGGACCACCCACTGAGCCACTGAGCCACCCAGCCACCCCAGTCACCCCAGTCACTCCAGTCACCCTGCTACACAGCCAGACATGGAGTAGGAAGGAAAGAAAAGGTATACAGGAATGGAGAAGCTAAAAGCCCTGAGGCCAAAGATAGATGGCATAATTTAAGAAAAGCTGGCAAGAAGCAAGCCAAGCTAACATTCCCAACTAAGAATAAGCCTCTGTGGGTATTTATTTGGGAGTTGGGTGGTGGGTCCCCCAAAGAGTCCAAAAAGCCAAAAGAATAAAACATCACATAATAACCCTGGTTCTGCTCTGTACCATGGCTTGGTGAACCTTGCAGAAAAAAAGCTCTTTGAAGAAAAATATATGATAGCATATCTTTCCACTCCTTTTTTTTAAATTTTTATTTATTTATTATGTATACAACATTCTGCTTCCATGTATATCTGCACACCAGAAGAGGGCACCAGATCTCATAACGGATGGTTGTGAGCCACCATGTGGTTGCTGGGAATTGAACTCAGGACCTCTGGAAGAGCAGCTGGTGCTTTTAACCTCTGAACCATCTCTCCAACCCTTTTTATTGTAATAAAAACTTATGAGGCCGGGTGGTGGTGCTCTCCTTTAATCCCAGCACTCGAGAGGCAGAGGCAGGAGAATCTCTGTGAGTTTGAGTCCAGCCTGGTCTACAGAGTGAGTTACAGGACTGCCAGGACTACACAAAGAAACCTATCTCAAAAAACCAGAAAACAAAATAACATATTGTATTAAGTTTATCATCTCAAACAGTTTTGGGTTATCAGGTTAGCAGTACATATAAATGGTTGGGCACAGATCTCTAGAACTATTTCATTTTACAGCATGGACACTCAATATCAACAAAACATGGATTCTCCCAGTCCTGGATAACCACTTTTCTCCCTTCCATTTCTACAGATTTTAACTTCTTTAGATATTTCACATGGCATTGTTATGATTTGGATATCAGATGTCCTTTCCACCCCCACCCCCAAAGACTCATGTAATGAAGGCTTGCATAACTTTATCAGTGAATTACCCCATGGATGACTTCATAGCTAAATGTTCTACTAGGAGGTGGGGTTGTGCCTTTGAAGTGCTTATCTTGTCCCTAGGCACTTACTCCTCTATTTTCTCTCTCTGCCTTCTGTCCACCATAAGGTGAGCCACCTTCACATACTCCCCCGTGATGTTCTGCCTTTCCTCCCCATGCTTGAACCCAGAAGGTACCGAGCCAAGTTAGCACCGACTGAAAACCATGAGCCAAAATAAAACCTTCCTCCTTTAAGTTGTTTCTCTCTGGCATTTTGTCACAGGGATGAAGGAGTGATTAATACAAATGAAAAGATAAGACATTTGTCCTTTTAAAATGGCCTGTTTAATGTTGTGAAATAATCTTTTTGTACACTGTAAAGATGTGTCTTTGCCAAGGCACCTTCTGATTGGTTTAATAAAGATCTGAATGGCCAATAGGTAGGCAGGAAGAGGCTAGGCAGAACTTCCAGGCAGAGAGAGAAGAGGAGATGTATCTATTCAGGATAGAGATGCCAGAGGACATGGAGAGGAAACAGGACATACAGAAGGAGAGGTAAATCCACAAGCCACATGGCAGCATGTAGATTAATAGAAATGGGTTCATTTAAATTATAAGAACTAGTGAGAAACAAGCCTAAGCTAAGGCTGAACTTTCATAATTAATAATATGTCTCAGGGGCTGGAGAAATGGCTCAGAGGTTAAGAGCACCAACTGTTCTTCCAATGGTCCTGAGTTCAATTCCCAGCAACCACATGGTGGCTCACAACCATCTGTAATGAGATCTGGTGCCCTCTTCTGGTGTGCAGATATACATGGAAGCAGAATGTTGTATACATAATAAATAAATAAAATCTTAAAAAAATAATATGTCTCAGTGTTGTTATTTGGGAGCTGGTGGTACAAAGAGTTGCTACAATTTTAGTATAATCTTGTCAAAATTCATCCTTGTGTAGCATGTGACAGAGTTGCTTTCCTTTAAAGGCTTTATAATATTCTTTTGTAGGTATATGATCATTCCCATTATCTATTCACCCATGGATGAATACATTGGTTTCTTCCACAATTGGCTATTATGAATAACGCTGGGATGAGCATGACTGTTCACACAGCTCTTTCAGATTCTGCTTTGAATTCCTTTGGATAGATACCAGAAGCAGGGGTGCTGGAGAGTATGGTGAGTCTGCTTTTAATGTTTTTGAGGAAACTTCATGTTGTTTCCCACCAATAGTCTCCAAACTTCACATCCTTGGTGACACTCATAATTATCTGATCTATTTAGAGTCACCTACTTCATGGGCATGAAGTGACATCTCATGGCTTTAATTTACATTTCCCTAATGATTTGTGTTGTTGAGTATATTCTCATCATTTATTGGCCATTTGTGTAGATTCTTTGGATATACGCCTCTGTAAATACTTTGCCCATTTTAAAAAATTAAGTTCTTTGGCCTGTTGTAGTTGAGCTGAAGTTCTTTATACATTGGTGATATTAATCCTTTATCACATGTGACTTGTGGTCATTTTGTCCCCTTCCAAAGATGGGC